TCTTGGGCATGGCATGTTGCACTGATGAACTCACAGTGGTAGTGGTTATCTGTACAAGACTGGCCCATCGGTATTTCATTGTTTACGGAGAAGAGGCTCAAGAGGTCCCACCTGCCTTTAAAGAGCATAGGGGGCAGGTAGAGTCATATTCTCAGCTTTGTGGTCACTGATAAGTTGTACTTGTTCAAGTAAATAATTCCCACTCATGTTCATGCAAGTAACCCTAACTAAATGCAAAGGGGTGCTCTATCCCATGTGTCACTGTATGGTGGTAGGACGGGAACTCTTGGGAAAGAAGAAGAGGTTTGGAGGAAGAGGATAAGATAATGGGGGTATAGTATAAGCAAAGTTTTATATTTACATATATATAATTGTGAAAGAAATAAAAACTTAAAAACAGATCATGTATCTGCCAAGATAGTACACATGTAATCCTAGTACTACAGAAAGGAGTGTTGTGAGTTTTGGGCCAGTTTAGGTTACATAGTGAATTCCAGACCAGCATGGACTACACAGTGTGGCCTGATCTCAAAAACAGGACTAGACAAAACAATTCCATATCCCTAAAAATACTTCACTGAATCACTCCCAGAGTTTCTGGCTTAGCAAGCTGGGGAGAGCAGGTGTGGAATCTGTGTTCTTCTACAGCTCAGGGATAATGCTGGCACTGTGAGCATGGGGACCACAGTGAAGAATTGTCATCTTAGAATATATGTCACCATCCCTTCCTCCACCTTAAGAGCACAGTCCCCTGGTGTAGCTGTTCTATGGGGAAGGTCATTCATTTGATTTACATTAGTCTCTGAGCTCAGATGCCTTCACTTAAATTAAACATAACATCTTCCTAACTCAACCACACTTCCTCAACTTCTTTCTTAAGTTGTGGGTGGCATTTGACTCCCGTCTTCCCTAAAAATAGTCAGACTAATTGTGTCTGCTTTTCTCTCCTCCTCCTCCACACCTCTAATAAAGCTGGGCAGAGCGGGGACCGACATTTCTAACTGTCTCGATGGTACAACACAGCTATAAGCCCGGTTTCTGGGGAAACTGAAGCAGGGGAATAGGGACAGGATGAACTCAGCAAATGATCAAGACCCTGTCTCAAACTAAAATTTATAAAGGTGGGAATTACATAGTAGAAATCTCGTATCATATGAGGAGGCCTGGGTCCAATTCACAGTGCTTCAAAGAAGAAGAAAAAGAGGTTTGTCTCTGTCCTTGTCCATGAAAATGTAATTTCTGAGAGACAGCAACTCTGGTTTACTATAGTTCCTCTTTCCATCATGCTCTGGGGGAATCTAGTCATTATCTAAAGTAATAATCTTGATTTTTATTATATTTATGGAATTCCAAGTTCTTCCACATGGTAGTATTGAGTCTACTTCTGTCAAAATAGATAGTTTAGTTCATTGAATAGTAAAGACAGATGGTTCTTTAGTGCCTACTCTACATTACCATGTTGTATGTGAGACACCAGGGTTTGGGGAGCTCAGTGATAAGAAGAAAGTCATTAAGTGAATTACAGATCATATAGTCAGGCCTCCTACCCCATTGCCTAGGCTTCCCTAATCAGCTGTCCCTGTCACCAGCTCCACTGAAGGATGTCAGCAGGGCCTGACATGCAATGGAGTAAGCCCAAAGCACAGGGCTAAACATGTAAAACATGATCTGAGAGATGGCTTAGCAGTTAAGAGCACTTAGTGCTTTTTCAGAAGACTTGAGTTTGGGTCCTAGCACCCACATTAGGCATTTTACAACTACCTGTAACTCCATCCCAGGGGATCCAATGCTCTCTTTGGGCCTCCTCAGGCACCTGCATTCACATGCACATAAACTCATGCAGGCACTCATCTGTATATTAATAATTAACCAGAATGACCCTGAAATTCTCAATTAAGGAAAGACACTTATTATTGAAAATAATTCTAGCACAGCAACCTTCTTCAGATGCTTTGGGTTTCTCTCCCTACACTTTTTCTCTTTTTAGTTGTGGTCTTAGCTGTGCAGCCAAGGATGCCCTTGAACTCCTGACCCTGGTGCTGCTGCCTCCCCAGTGCTGAGATAACAGGCACCATGCTATCCCAGGTCTGTTTACATTTCTTTACAAAGTGTGTAGGAAGGGATCATTCTAGAATGAAAGAAAAAAAAAAGACTAAGCAGAAACCTAGGAAGTTCAGATAGCTACAAATTCTGATAGGATTGGCTCTTTGGCATCATCCCTGCCAAAGACAAGAACCCATTATCATGGCTAGAATAAGCAACAACAACAACAACAAAACAGAGACATTTTTCCCGATGTCTCTTCACCCTGCTCTTTGATACAACTATATTTGGGGAGAAGAGAAAGAACTATATGTATTTGGTAAGGAAACTTACCAGCAGAACTGAATTTATTCCTTTATCAACACTGTGAGGTGGATATTTCCCTCCTATTCAACATTCAGACCCAGAACTTTGAGCATTTTAGACCCAGGGTGCACTGGTAAAGCCAGGTGCATACCCAGGTCCCTGTGACCAAACTCCAACCACACAGAGCTAGGTGATTCCCTAAATCAATTCCAGAACCTTTACCTGCTGTCAAAGAGCTCAACATGCCTGAGATGTGCTTACCACCTGCTTGAAAAGCCTGCAACTCTCATGCTCCTTTCCTGCTTGCTTTGGTTCTCCTGTTAAAGAATACAGTGAATCACAGAACAGGTTCACCGGCAAAGCTTTTTGATTCTGGCGTGTTGGTCATGTGTTTAAAGATGGGCAAATAGAGAGAGTAAAAGAGGAAGTCACAAACAAAGATGCAAGAAAGAACTGCATGATATTTCCTCTAACCCCACCTCCCACCCCTGCCGAGGAGTCCTTACTCGTCATTTCAGGCATGTAAAATTATGCATTTATATAAGCCCCAGGGAAGCTAGGAACCACATGACCTCATCATACCTGGCACGATGAGCTGTTCTGTGCAAAGGTGGGCTGGTGGCAACACTATTTCCTAGGCTGGAAGAAGGGAGAGGAGAGGAGACAAATGGGCCTCCTAGAACTGACGTGGGGCTGGACTTTCAGAAAGCACAGGGTGTGCAAGAACAGTAGAATGGGCTGTTGTTCATGGAGTACTAACAAGAAGGTTTAGAGCTTGAGCCCTGCAAGAGACGCACATGTGAGAGCTAAGCCAGGCAGGGTCTGTAAAATATTCCTGCCATTTGTTGTCAAATTCTTTCCAGTACAGCAACTGAAAATCAACCACATAGGGCTGGAGATATAGCACAGTAATAGAGGGCTTTCCCAGCATGCATGAGGCCATGAGTTCAAGCCCCAGGATGGCAAGTAAAGAAAAAATAATCTCTTAAAGCACACTATAGGTTAGCTAACTTCCTTGAAAAATATTCAAAGAATAAGCTGAGATAATCCAGTCGAATCTCTAGCCATTTAATTTCAATGCCAGAATACTGTTGCTTCCAGGCCATTCTCTCCAATTTCTAAATAAGATTAAAAACAAAAAACAAAACAAAAAAACCAAAACCCCAAAACAATGAAAAGAATAACTAAAATACCTCCCAAGCCCCAAACAAACATCAGTGATTTTGTTTCTCAAGTTTTAACAAGATGGTAGCCTCAAACTGGTTACAGCAGTACATGCCTTGTAATCCTAGCACTTGGGAGGTAAAGGCAAAAGTATTAGGAGTTCAAAGTCATCTTCAGCTACAAAGTGAGTTCAAGGCTAGTCTAGTGCACATAAGACCCTGTCTCAAAGTAAAAGAAAATAAAATAATGGTGAGACAGCTCAGTGGATGAAAGCACTCGATGTATAACCCTGAGGACCTGAGTTCAATTCCTGGATCTCATAGTGTAGGAGAGAACCAACTCCCCAGAGTTGCCCTCTGGCGCGCACACACACACACACACACACACACACACACACACACACACGCACACGCACACGCACACGCACACATACATGCATGCAGAAAGAAAGAGATAATAATGATGATGATAATACTACTACTAAAGTGTGTGCACACAAAAGGAGAAAGCTGGCATGGTTCTGACACATGCTAATCCACGTCTCTCTGTTGTGGGTCAGATACCATATATAGGTCCCCTCCTAGGCACTAGCCAAGCACAGAAGAGGTGCCGCTCTTGTTGGACTTGAGCTCAGCACCATCATACAGAGGTGGAGGACACACATGCCACTATTCCTGAAGCAAAGCCATACTTCCGTTATTTTAATTAGGATGTCTTTACTATGCATTTGAACTAAGAGATACAGAGGTAAATGGTGTAGGAACTGCACGGGCAGATATGTATCAGTTATCTTTTTCCCATATGTTAAGTCATTGCTATATACTTTCATGGGAGGGGGTGTTTAACAATTGTGTTGAAGAAAGGACATCAAATGATGCTTAGAAATGTGATACACATTTTCATTTCACACTCCATCAGCTTTTACAACTGTAGCTCAATGAAATGTGTGAGAGAGCTTGGCAAACATCCATATTTACCAAGGTATAAAACAGGGGCCAGGTTACTTTTTTTATAGAATGAAAAAAATGTTTAATTTTCACTCCACAGGACTCAAGTATATATGCAGCTCACACTAGCAAGAGGCATCACACACAGCTTAGTGTCTGTTCACCTGTAGGCTTTAACTGTATTACAAACAGCTTTGTCAGCAGGGAAACATCGGGTCCTCATCCCCCTCCCTTCAGGATCTATGATACAGAAACATGCTGGATCTGTTCACCCTTGGTGTTGAATCTCTTACCTGCAAATAATGGCTTTTTGCCTTCTGCTTCTGGCCTGAAAAAGGAAGCAGTTTATTCCCTTTATGGGCAGAGAGGCAAAAGGCTACATCAGCAATACCCAGCTGCACCTCTAGATCTCCATCTGTCAGAAAGGAGCAAAGCCTGTGTGCCCTTAAAACGGGGACCGCACATGATCAGAGATGCGTGGCACAGGGTCACTGCCATTCTGTCAGCAGTGGGGGCGGGGGGGAAAGAACCTTAACTTACCCTTGTCAAACCCGAGACTTCGCCCTTGGCCAGCGGCTTGCTGATGGATGGCGTGTAGATTTTGGTGTCCGATACTGGCTGTCCTTTCAAAAAGTGTTTTCCTGATTCATAAATGTCTACTTCAACCATTTTCCCCATGAATTCAGGCTTCTTTGGCACCAAAACCTTAAATCAGATTTTCAGAAATGAGAAGTTTTTAATGTCAGCTAAAGAACAATGACAGAAGACTTCTTGCTCCCCACACTACTCTGCCCACCAGTAACTTCGTCCATCAGCACAGTGTGGTTGTCACAATGAAGAAGGAAAATGATATGCCACTGTCAGCTAAGTCCACACTGTATTCAGATGTCCGCAGAAGATTCTGCTGTACGACCCCATTACAGTGCTCTATCCTCTGGCTGCTCAAGGATTTGGAGCCCAGGAGAGTGGTAAGGCTTCTTTGGGAGAAGTCAAGGGGCCATAGCCCCAGTGCCTCCATCATCAGTGTGCTTTCTTGAAGCACACTGGCAGTAGCCTGGGAAATTCCCCAAAGCCAGCAACCACTTCTGGACTGGCCTCGGTACTCTGCCCTTGCCTGTCCTGCACAATGAAGAAAACGGATTCAGAAATAATGAAAACTGCACACTTCCAATACTTTCCAATTTAGTTGTCAGGAAAATGGTTAGGAGATGCTTCAAATGAAGGCCTCGTGTGTGTGTGTGTGTGTGTGTGTGTGTGTGTGTGTGTGTGTGTGTGTGTGTGTGTTCATCTGTGCAAAAGGTCAAGAGGAAGGACATTTCAAAGCAATTCTTTCAGGAATACAGCACATTGCTGTTTGTCTAAATGACTCCTCTGGCTAATGGCCGCCTTTCATGCCTTTTGTTGTTAGAAAAGAAATGTGTTTGTTAGTCTCATGAGCCAATCTCTGTACAGAAGCAGTCACTCTGAAGGCCACTTTAGCTGGCTCACGGGGAACTGTCAAATGGCTCTTTCTGCTAGAGATTGCTGATAGAGTGATAGAGGTCCATGTTTTTTTACCTCAGCAAACACCTCCTCTTATTGGGACCCTACAGGTAGTTTGTATGCATTCTGTCCCCTCACTCCTCCGCTTTAGCACTGTAGCTACCTGCCAACCTCTTCAAGTCAGGGTCCAACATAAACAGGCCAGTACTAAAGCAATAATCCCTTGATATTCTGATGCAATCTTATTTAGAAATAGAAGTTATGACATCTTTGAAAGGTTAGTTATAGAGACAGAAAAAGGGGGAGGGGGGTCAGGAAAGGTCAGGGAAGAACCTGCAGTCACCACACTGGGTGTTGGGCTTTCTGAGGTCAGCTTTTATAATTATTGCACACACACACGGCTTCATTAAAGGGTGGGGAAAAGGTCACCTGGAGGGTGGGTGACGCATGGCAAACAGGCCAACTAAAAGAGCATTAGTATCAGGCTCTTTTAAATTAATTTTTATAAAGTAAGAAAACCCCTAGTCCAAACTATGTCTAGAAATTTTGGTGCTATTCAAGGGGAATATAAGCCTTCTTGATCTGCTGTCTTGACCTGAATGAAGGGCTCAGTGTTTCTCGTCTTCTGCCACCCTCCCTCGGGTTTTAATAACTGGAGAAAGCCCTACTGCCTTACACTGGAGGAAGCAGCTAATGAGGCATGCCGTTTTCTTTTAGAGGCAGGGGGATGGTTCCCTGCTGAGGCATGAGAAAAGTGAGGGAAGAGGCAACCAAAACACATCAGGGTCCTCCCCAAGGCTGAGCAGAGGGTTGGCCTGCATAGGAGAACGGCTCTTCCTGAGATGGCGACAAGAAGAGGTTCAGCTTAAAGGTGAGGCACAGGGCTCCTTCCTCAGTGCGTCTACTTGGGCTCTGAGGTCCCACCTCGGAACTGCTGCCCAATTTGACAGTACTCCACATGGACAGGCAATAGTGAGGCCTCTTTACTGCTTTCTAACTGGAGTAATGCTTTCCCTTGCCCAGACCTATCTGAAGGGCTCATGTGGTACTTAAGAATCCCCAAATTCCAATTCCAGTCATGACCCAGAGAAAGAAAAAAAAAATCCACTTCTCATCTGATGAGAAAGAATAGAAGGATAGGAAACACCATTCGACATTAAGGAAAATTAATATGACTCAGAACCATCTGTGGCCATCCCACGATACTCTGAGTGTCTCCTAAGACACATTTCCCATTGTCCTCCTTGGTCCATGCAGGGTTCTTGCCTGAGGGAAGAACTCTGTAAGTCACTTCTGACATGCTTCCCTCCCCCACTGGGGACGTGAAGCCCCAGGTACTGACCGAAGTCAAGGGCTTCTAGACATGCATGTACAGCAGCTGTGTTTGTTTACTGGGTTGGTAGTTTGGTTTTAATTTAGTTTCTTTCTTTCTTTTTTTTTTTAATTCTCCTTTGCTAAAAAGGCTGGGAACAGAAGAGAAAGGGCCTATTTGGACTCCACTCAGACTGATGAGACACTGTGGAGGCCTTATAGGGTGAAGCAACTTCCCTCGGAGGGTTTTAGAGACCACCTGGGGGTGCCTTGGCCAGGCTTCCTCACCTGCAAGTGAGAGGGAACATGTCCAGTTCACTCCGATGTGCTTCCCGCCTTCCTTCCGAAGAGGACCCCATCTCCACTTGCTGTGTTAGCTGCTGGGCTCCCAATGCCCATACACCCAAGGCTGCCCTACCCTAGACTTGTGTGGCTCAAAGTACACCCAGTGACTGAAGGAAAATCAGAGATCAACCCCCTGCTAGTCTGGTTCTCTTGATTCAATCCTTTCTTCTTCTTGTCCCCTTCACTTAAACTTTCAGAACTGGTCTCACTTAGGAGAAAAAGGTGAATGCGAATGATTCTTACCTGCTCGTAGAATCGATTGTGTGCAACATAAAACTTGGAGTCAAAGGATTCTTCTGTTACTAGTACTTGTTGTCTTTCACCAATCTGTGGGGAGAAGAAAAGACAGGGGTCAAGAAGCAAGAATGCCAAAATACCTCTGTGAGTTCAAGGCCAGCCTGGTCTAGAGGGAGTTCCAGGACAACCAGGGCTACACAGAGAAACTATCTTGGAAAAAAAAAAAAAAAAGGATTCGAAAATAAGTATCAGCCCATATAGTGTCCTGGACTATAGCTGCTTCTTGAATTTAAAGTAGGCTGCAGATGGTCAGTTGTTTAACAGACAACACTGCGCATAACTCATTCAAATCTCTTGAAAAACATTAACTATGCAGGAATGTAAAATCACCATAGCACAAACTCATTTTTTACATGACTATGAAACAACTTGATCAGATTTCTTTCTTCCACACAAGAAAGATACAAAAAAAAAGCTCCTAAAATACACCAAGATCTAAATATCACTTTGTTTCTTGCAACAAACTTACATAACAAGCCAGAACAAGCTGCTTCTAATCCAAATGCAGGGAAATATTTTGGCAATATGGAAGAATAGTAATAAACATTAATTTGAGTTATAAGGGATATAACACTAAAGAAAATGCACCCAAAACTAGTCATTAGGGGTTGCAGAGATGGTTCAGTGATTAAGTGTGCACACAGCTCCTCCAGAAGACCAACATTTGAGTCGGGCACCCATATTGGATGGCTTATAGCTACCTCTAACTCCAGCTCCTGGGCATCTGATTCACTCCTTTGGCTCCAGGAGCACCTGGACTCACTCATGTGCACATACCCCTTACACACACACACACACACACACACACACACACACACACACACACACTATTTTAAAACCCACACATAATTTAAAAAACAAAATTAGTTGTTAGGCCTTGCACCTCAGTGTTGTACATGTTCTATACAATCTGAAATTATGACTAACTTGCACAAGTATTTCCATAATAAATATATTTTTCTCTGTTGTAGGCAAGTGTCTCTTTGTTATAGCTACAACTCCATGTCATCGTTTTTTCTTTAAGAGCAAACATGAAAATTATGAAATTTGCTGATCAACTAATGGAACTAGAAAACATTATACTGACTGAAGTAACCAACATCAGACCCAGAAAGACAAATGTCACATGTCCACTCATAGGTGGATCATTGGATTTGTGTGTTCAGTCAGGAGAACCTGTAGGATCCAGAAAGCCAGAGGGTCACTGGCAGGGAGTGGGGAGAAGGGCCTTAAGGGTAAGAGGATAGTAGAAGACAGATGATGTGAAGGGGAAAGGGGGGATCAGGGGAGGGAAAGAGGGATGGGAGGGTAGGGCAAAGGAAGAAGAAGGATGATCAATACTAAAGATGTTTGGAAAGGCCATCGTATTTATAAGCTTCACACACACACACACACACACACACACACACACACACACACACACACACACACATTCATATAAAAGAGTTTAACTGGAGTTACCCTACACAGGGGATAATGTTCCCCCCTGTGCTGGATAGGTTTTTGCCAATCTGGCACTAGCTAGAGTCACTTGAGAAGAAGGAACTTCAATTGAGAAAGTGCCCCCACCAGACTAGTTTGTGGAAAAGCCTGTGGGGCATTTTCTTGATTAATGACTGGTGTGGGTGGGCCTACCTTACTGTGGGTGGTGTCATTTCTGGGTAGGTGGTTCTGGGTGTATAAGAAGCAGGTTGAGCAAACCATGGGGACCAAGCCATAAGCAGTACTCCTTTATGGCCTCTGCATCAGTTCCCTCCTGCAGGTTAAGGTCTTGAGTTAAGGCCCTGACTTTCACGGATGATGGACTTACAGGTTGTACAATGAAATAAAGCCTTTCCTCCTCAAGTTGCTTGTGGCCATGGTGTTTCAGCACAGCAATAGAAACCCTAAACAAGATACCCTTAAAGGCCATAGGTTGCCAAATAAAAACCCAGTGCCAGGTATGGGATACCTCCCCTTGAGAGATGTCCTAGAGGCTCCCAAAACAATACAGGCCATAGCCATTGTTCTTGGTTGCCCCACTTGAACTTGATGGTAAGTGCTATTGCTAAAGACACCACACACCTCAATCACAGGACATGGAGAAAACAAGTTGGTACTGAATAGGAAGCTTCTCTGACACCGAGCTTTCATAGTATTAGTAGGTGCTATATAGGCTGCCAGGAGAAAAAAAAGAAATCAACAGTCTTGCTCAGCTGTGAACCCTGTGTACTAGAATGATAGGGGTAGCAAGATATGCCAGGGTGCAATAGTGGTACAAATGTTATAGAAGTAATCTCTCTCTCTCTCTCTCTCTCTCTCTCTCTCTCTCTCTCTCTCTGGGATTTAAGGCTCACTCTACAGGAGGAAACATTTGCCTGGTATTGCTAATCTGACCAAGAATTCATGGTTTGGGGAGCTCACAGGTCCCAGAGGAGAATCTACAACTACTATTCTGCTGAATGGACATAGTACCAAACTGCCCTCAAAATTAATATCTTTATACACAGAGATTAGTGCAGCTCTCAGACTTCATCAGAGAACTTTCTTTGTACTGTGAGTGGTGGTTAAAACAGAAACTCTCAGCTGGTTAGTGTACAGAGAATGAGTGTCAGTGGAGTGCTTAGCCACAAATGAGACAGCCATCACCGACCCCCACCCCCAGCCTCAGGCTCATGGAACAGTACAGAAGAAGGGTTGGAAAGACTGTAAAAGCCAGAGGGAACGGAGGATGGGAGCAAACCAGTGTCTTCTGGGCATGACAAGACTTCATGAACTCATAGCAACTGTAGTTGTTGGCACAAGACTGGCGCAAGATCAGGCCGTTGCATTCTAGCACAAAGTGGGGAAGGGCTCACAACCCCATCTCTGAGGAGCTACTGAGAGTTGATTCCTTACGGGGAAGGGAGAGTTGATTTTCTTTAAGAGTGTAGTCCCTGGTAGGTCAACCGTGCTACAGTGGATGGCCTCAAACCCAGGAGTATATGGGCAGAATAAAGTGGACTCTGGGTAATTAAGAGAGGACACAAAGCTGGGAGAGGGTGGGGAGGAGGGGTGGATCTCTGAGGAGTTAGGGAAAGAAATATGGGATGAGTATGATAAAATAAATTGTATGAAAGTCTCAATGAAGTAATAAAAATACATTTTAAGAAGCAACCAACTAATGAGTCTGTTAGGTCTGTGTTTCCAAATTATGCAGCCATTTTTAAGGACCATAAGTTAAATCAGCCAAATAATGGTTAAAGAAATGTGACTATGCTCCCTCCCAATTGTCATTTCCAAGTTTATTCCACTGTGAAATGTATCATTTAAAGGATCAATTACTTAAAAAACAAAACTCAACCTTGTCAAAAATGTCTGCTCCATCAAATGAGCTGTAAAACTGCCTGGAATTGCTTTTGCTGTTGCTACTTAGTAAACATACCCCATACTGGCAGGATGATTTTTCCCCCCCCAAGAGGGTCCTAGTCTCAGTTGTGGGGACTTGTCACTGTGTTCAGGCAGTTATCATTTAGGAACCATAAACACAGCTGCACTGAACAGACCACCTAACAATTAAAAAAACAACAGAGTAACCCCCCACTCCCTCTTACATTGCCAATACCTAAGTATACCCCAACATGCCATCTAGCTTACCACCCTATTCAAAATGCAGTCTCCTTAGCCAAAGGCTGCCAGGTCTCTGATGATTCTTTTCTTTTTTTACAAGACTAATCTCACCCCCTGAAAAGAAATGCACACTCCTATAATACATCTCTTTAAAAACAATCCAAATAGACCCCAAGGAAAGTTCCTCCAATTTCTACAATGAGCTTCCATTTCCAGAGTTCCATTTATCAAAAAAGACTGGTAAATAGTAGGTTCCATGGGTGTTCATTCTTCTGGAGAAAGCTGGGATATTTGCACACAGCTCACAGTGTGAGTTGCTTATGACTTTGGATAAGTACCTGTCAATGGTTCTTAAGGTAATCTGCAATTAAACTTCATCTAGCTAGCGTTAACACTGTGAGAACATTGAAGGTGTGTGCTATTTGCTGTTTCTGTACACTTGTTTTAATTTATGTGGCCAGTTGTTTCATTTCATGTGGAGATAAAAATGCTGACAGTAAAATACAGGAATACAGTAAAAAAAAAAAAAAAAAAAAAAAAAAAAAACCCAACCAAACAACAACAAGAAACCTTGTATGTTTATGGAGGCAGCTGGGATCGTGATCAATCAGAGAACCATTTATAGATGAGCCTTTAACTGTCACTTGCCAAAGAGGCTCAGAACTGTAGTACATGGAGATGGACAGTAAGTAGCAAGCACCTTTCTCCGCCACAGACCTTGGGTCACTGCTGCAGCTCTTACGGTTCCCAGAGGGTACTGAGCAAAAGAGAAGAAAGTTGAGCACTGATGGGAACTGCTGCAGTGCATCCCACCTCTAAGAGTCACAGTAAGAACTAATTCGGCTCCCCTTTGTGATTTTTATGAATGAAGACTTGGACTCTCCATCAATCACAACCATGAAGAGAACTGATTCCTTCAAGTCATCCTAGAAGCAGCAGAGGTTGAGGAAGGGCATTTCCAAGAAGCACTTGGCTTTGGGAACAATAAAGACCTTCCAGATTTGTCATATTGTATGTATTTTATATTTTTTTTAATTAATCTTTCAATGTTGGGTATGGAATTTAGGGCCTAGTACAGGTCTGGTAAGTACTCTGCCGCCGAGTTGTACCCTAGTCATCAAACCTCATTTTAAAGGAACCATTTGTTTATTATGTTTCCTAAATGTGATCCCTCCCCAAGTCTTTAATTCCATTAAAGACTTATCTATCAAGATTTACAATGACCAGCGTGATATGTCTTATCATGAGTGCTTCTGCTAGCAGAGTGAGGAGGCCCTGCCCCCAAGATAAAAACAGGGCATCTGGCAGGCTGGGTCAAGCCACAGGCCTCCTTAGGCACATCAGACCACACCTCCTAGCTACTGAGCAAGCAGCAGGGCTGATCCATGAGAAGGGACCAGAGCTTATCTTACACAATGATAGAGCATGCACTGGGCCTTAGC